CCCCCCGATATGCACGGATTTATTCAAACAACTCCTAATGTATGAAAGTTGGCATTTTCCTCGCGTTTCCCCCCAGTGGAATAAGCGATATAAATAGAGTCTGTATTCGCAGGCTACCTAAAATGCATGGCTGAACAAGATGCGACCAAGCGTCCAAGCACGCAATAAAGCATTACTCTGAGACTCATCCTTTAGAACTAATACCTATTTTTAAATAGGTATAATATAATAATAGAAGTTTAAAAACTTCTAATATATTGATCAGTCTCATTGCCAGGGTCTTCATGGTGATGTATATATTTTCCCGCGGATTTTTATCAAACGGAGTGGCGACGAAATTAATTTGGTACAGTAAAATGTTTCTTCGTTTAGTAAATTTTGAACACAGAGTTTAGTAAAACCGCTGAAAAAGTTTGGTCACACCCGTGACGATGACTCCAGGTAAACTGGCAAAGATGGTGGCCTATAAAGTGCAGAAATATTGGGTTTTCACTAGTTTCCAGATACCAAACTGCCGTTACGTCATTTGATCAATTTCCAAAGTTGTCTCTTTTTGGACTTTTTTCAGTTAATTTGGTTAGGGTTAGAGTGGGGGTAGGATTTGGGTTAGTTACATAGCCATTTAACAGCTCTTCCATCTTCCGAAAACCGCTCTCTTGTTGTCTCCACGAAGAAGACTCTGGGGTAGACTTTCCCAAAGTCCTTTCCAGTTTTTTTTCGCGTGGGCAAGTCTAACCATGGCGACGAAGTTGCTCTCTTGTTTGTGTAAAACACGCGCGTTTTTCGCTTGGGCTTCGCAAGAGCTGAAAAATAGTGACCAAAGTTTTCCGATCGATGTAAACGTTTTTCAATTTTGGCACATAAATACTCATTTTAATATTATGATACCCTAACTAAAAGCTAAACACTAAATGTAAAGCTAGTGGAGTGTAAAGGTAAGATGATGCAACTGGTCCATATCATTCTGTGTTCAGTTCAAATCCCTGGGTCACACTGCTCGCAACTTAAACCTGCTTTGCATTTGGGGCAGTGATTACCAACTTTGATAGAAGAAGTGAAAGTCACAGTGATATAAACATGCAGTAAGAATAATATGCAATAATAACATTTGTTGTGAGAATTTCAAATTCTTAATTAGAACCCACTAAAACTTTCGAAATTAATTTACAATTAATTTTCGAATTTAATTTTCGAAATTAATTTATAACCTGGTTTATTTCATATTCAGTTCCAATATTCTATATTCAGACTATATTCAGTAAAATTTTCCTGGGGCTCAATCAAGGATTTTCTCGCTCTTTTTGTTTTTCTTTAATGATTATATATATATATATATATATATATATATATATATATATATATATATATATATATATATATATATATATATATATATATATATATATATATTTATATTATTCTGAACGCTGATTGGCTAAGAGCCGTGTTGATATAACTCAATGTCAACACGGAAACGTCGGAAAATTTCTTTCTTTATATTTCTTCGTGCTATATATTATAAAACAAATAAAAAACATTTTTTCCATATTGATATACAGTTATATCAACACCGTGGAAATTGGGAAAACTCGAAATTGTGTGAAAACACTCCACCCTTCGGGCGTCGTGTTTCCACACAATTTCGAGTTTTCCCAATTTCCACTCGTGTTGATAGCTGTATATCAACACGGAAAATGTTTTATATTTGGTAAATATAATTTTATATCATTGGTTTATCATTGGTTTTATTTATGGTTTGATGCGCGGGCAATGGGTTTGAGGCGCGCGCGCGGGCAGCGAAAATTAGGAAGGCGAGGCGCCTCCATCTTAAAACTGCCGGCTACGGAGGCTAATCAAAGGGTAGCTTATCATGGCCGCAATTTCTGATCGTGCTGTGAAATGCATGGGATGATGGGATGTCATGTGCAAGGGTGACGGAACCAGGGGGTGGAAAACAACGGGAAGCCGGTGGAGGGGGTGAGACTAAATCCACCAGCTATTTTAGACGCCAATGTTTTAAAGCCTTAAGGTCCATACAGAACGAACTCGATTCGACAACGCGACGCGAATTTTCAGTTTTTAAAAACAAATAAAACCGTCAACGGATAAAAATTTTACAAGATATGCAGACCAAATAGCTAAAATTGCTTAAGTGGTTCCGAATATTTGAAAAACATAAAAAACTGATTGAAGTTAGATGTCATTGAAAATTGAAAATTCGCGTCGCATTGCCAAATCGCGTCCTGTCTGTTTGGACCTTAAGCCATGCACGTGTGGAAGAGCATTGGCGTAAGGCTAGGGCAGAAAAATTAGGGGGGCGGAAAAACATTTAGGTTTATTGATAGATGAATTCTACGATTCGACTCATTCGAATTATATCTGGGATTTCAGTCTTTGAGATACATCGAAAACTCCTCACCCTACTGTATCATGCAATTTGAATTAATAATAACGGCTTATTGACCGAGCGTGAGGTCTGTACTGTGAAATATCAGACCGAGGTTTTTTAGTATTTAGTCCATGCAAAAAACAGAGGTCTGATATTTCACAGTACAGACCTCACGCTCGGTCAATAATCGGTTTATTATATGGCTGAACTGAGTCTGTGAGCATATGCTTTTCGCGCGAATTAAATCGGCTATCGTCAGTTTCACTGGGTAACAATATACGGTAGGCATGCATGCTCAATCAAAAACAATTTGGTTGTTTGAAATTTTTATATGTAAATTTTAATGACACACAATTGGAAAATTAAAAAGCAAACATTTTTTCTGTTTTGCAAAGCAAAAATTTCCCGCCAGACAAACGACATCCGGGACACCGGTCCAGATACGGAAAATACGGACCACGGTCCGGATATGGGTTTTTACGGACCGCTTGTCAACCAATCAGAATAGACAATTTTGAAAAGCCATATAATAATATTGTATACTTTAGCATATTGCATGTGTATGCAATTGAAACAAATTTCCGTCATTCAGTTTCTCTGACTAAACATCTAAACGTTAATATCATGACAAAAAAACACATTATACTGAGGCGAGCAAATTGCCCAATTCAGTTTTTAAATAAAAATCGGCTCAACTAAACATTGACTGCATGGGGGTGTATGTGTGGCTGCAGGGCCCTCCCAGTCCGCCTGCTTCGCGTACGCCTATATGGAAGTGTGTCCCCCCCTCCTCCAACTCAACAAATCTTCCACCGCCTACGAAGCCGGTCAATCAAACGATTAATCAAACAATTTACTCAAAATCATTAATACAAATATACAAATTATACATATAAACACATTATATTAATTTTTAGGATAGTACTAAAGTTGCAATGCATTAATGATACAATCGGGTACCTTGTGGTTGCTGAACACAGCTATCTTGACCATAGTCTATCAAGATATGATGGTCTGGAAAGTCATTGCGTTACATTTTTGTCTGAGTTTATGCTAATTTGTGCACGGTCGTGGTGATTGAGCTGATTGCATTTTTAATCCTGGTGGAGTAACCGTCCACCAGGATACCTGAGATGAAACGTGCAACCACAATGAATAATATTCAAAAATTTGAGACGAAGAATCGTGTACGGTGAGGTAAAGTTCAACATCAAACAAAGGTCTTCTTTTTTGTGGCTTTGAAGTTTACCGGGCTTCCAGATCATCACATCTTGACAGACTATGACGTGATATTAGATCATGGCTTTGATAAATAATGAATAACGCGGTCTTTATTTGTATGTTAGATATTTACAAAGATCTTATACACAAAATAATTTGTTTGATATTTGTACTTACAATACTGTATAATAGTCAATACAGATATACTAATATCGTATAATAAGTATATATAGGTCAGTGGTCCTAACGAAAGAACAATTAAACATTCAATTCTGCATGAAGTATGGAATTGTAGGCTAATGTTTTACCAAGTTTTAAATTGAAACGGTCAAAAAATAAACAAATTAAGTATCCCCAATAATTACTAAATTAAAAAATAAATTAAATACATTTTCTGTTCCTGAAGTACTGAAGGTACTTTACATACTGCGATTTGTCGCGTTAATTTCAGACCAAAACCAATTTAATTCAGGGATGGAAGATGAATATATTGAGTATTCAATACTGCACGGGTATAGTGTGAACATGAATTGATGGTAGGAATATGAATATTTGTGGTAGAAATATGAATTATTATATAGAGGAACAGATTCCAAGCTTCCACGACCTCGCACTGGCTTAGTACGCATCTGATTGGTTAGTCGGAGATATCAAACGCATATGATTGGTCAATGGTCCCTTAATGGTAGAGGTAGAGGGATTAGAAGTCAAATCTGAACCTCTCTATCGATGGTAGGAATATGAATATTAACGCCCGTATTCTAAACGCTCACTCGCACTCAGGGCTAGTG